GACCCCCCCCCCCCGCCTGCTCGGGACGCGGCAGCCGGGGCACGCGGAGGGGTTGTGCCCGGCCCGAGCGCGCAGGGACAGACTCTGGCATCGGGGCGGAGCGTCCCAGGCGCGCGGGTTGGTGCTCACGTGACCCCCGGCGGGGGGAGTTTCTCACCGAACGGCTTCGGCCTCGGGACGGACCTTTGCTCCGTCCCCGGTGTAAAGACGAAAACTGAAACCCTCCTATTTTGTGCCTCGTTGCGGTTTCTGCCCTGCATCCCTGACGTTCTGGGCTACTGCTCAGGACTTGCTCCCTGCTCCAGGCGTTGCAAATTCTGAGGGACGGGGTTCCTGGTCCAAAACATTCGGGCTGTGTCGACATTGGCACCCCTTTCCAGAAAAGAGATGCTAATGAGACACTTCGGAATTGCAAATCCACGGGGGATTCAAATATCCCCCCCAGCATTTGCATTTACATGGCTGCCACTTTTTTCCGGCCTGGGGTTATGCTGGAGAAGAGCGCCCCACTAGACATGATTTTCCAGAAAATAAACCCTTTTCCGGAAGATCCCTATAAGGGTTTATTTTCCGGAAAATCAAGTCTAGACTGGCACTTTTCTCCGGCATAACTCGAGCCGGAAAAAAGCGGCAGCCATGTAAATGCAAATGCCGCGGGGGGTATTTAAATCCCCATCCCTATAAGGGTTTATTTTCCGGAAAATCAAGTCTAGACTGGCACTTTTCTCCGGCATAACTCGAGCCGGAAAAAAGCGGCAGCCATGTAAATGCAAATGCCGCGGGGGATATTTAAATCCCCCACGGATTTGCAATTCCGAAGTGTCTCATTAGCATCCCTTTTCCGGAAAGGGGTGCCAACGTAGACACAGCCTCACAGTTTGCTCCCTCTTCTGCTACCTGGTCCAGGCGTTGCAAATTAGGTGGTTCTGTGGTTGAAAACACTCACCATTCGTTCCTTGTACTGCATCTTCTCCCACCCCCTACCATTTGAGGCGGGGCTCCTCCATGCACTAACCTGCTGGTGGAGATGGAGGAGGGTTGGGCTTGGAGCAGAGATGCAGGGAGGAGGCTCCAGCTGCCGGTAGCAGGCGGTGTAGGAACTCAAAAACTGAGGGATGACAGGAGGAGCAGAATGGGATTAAATTGGTGCCTTCCTAGCATGGTGTCCAGGGGCAACTGACCCTGTCCAGCCCCCTCGCTATGCCTCCAAATGCAAGATCTGTGCAAGCCATCCCATGCATCTGCAGTTAGTGTCTGTGGCGCCTGCTTCTGGGTGGTGTCTCAGTGCTGCCACATTCACCTCCAAAGAGGGGGCTTCCCAAAGCAGGCCCTTGCTGAACCCCAAGGCATCCACAGGTCCAGTCTCCTTTCAG